ATCTGATAGTTTTATTAGCTCTGAAAAAGCTATTAAAAAGTCGTCTTATTTTATCTTTCGATAACCCTCAATCATTAATCACCAATTATTTAGTGGTTAATTACTCGTAATCATTTGTAAGCAAATTACTTTATTCAATCATATTTTGAATTCCATGGTACATCTAACGTAAAAAATTGTGAATAATAAATAACCATAAATGATTTCACCAAATACTTGCTAAAATTTCTTTTCAGTCATTCGAAAATTTTCAAATTTTTAATGTAAACGTGTTCGCTCAAATTATTCCACAAACATCTCACAGTACAAAGTGCTTTCATCAATAACAATTATTTTCTTTTATTGAATAAAATCTGCTTCAGTCTCTGCTTGTTTATTTTTAATATTTTACAAAATTTGTTATCACTTTCATAGTGCATAAGGAGAATATAATTTTAAGGAATTCAAATACACACAGACATTTCTTTGCACCCTTGGCAATATTATCTACGTTTTACCGGTTGATCTTTCTCATAAACATCCAATGGCAGCGTAATATGAGTAGCAGCTAAGTTCAGATGCCCAGAAAATACGTCAAAGTTCTGCAGCTGAAGTGCGAACTCTGCTGGGTTCATATTTCAATCCTTCCTTCTTTCTCCGCATTGCTTATACAATTAAGCAACTGCGTTTCAGTTTTTTCCTCGAATAGTCTGCAATATTCGCGATTTCGCCGCTAAGAACCTTTTTTTTTTGGCTTTTTAACGACAGCCGATATCCCTGTAGAAATTTATTTATGTACCGTACGACACATTTAATCTATCTAAAAAATAGACGCAAAAACTATATCCTTGAAATTCAACTGGATTATGAAACTTAATTATCCGTCACTAAAGCATTTACAGAAAAATTGACGTAAGTTTAACGACTGTAACGAATTTGAAATTTGACGTTAACAATTCTAACAAATATTTTTCCATTAACTATTAAACTTTAATAAACAGTATTAGCCTAATATCCGGTCATATACATTTCTCTTTCAATTAATAACACGTCAAGACACCCTTCGTTATAAATGTTAAATATAGAATTGGAACCTCTTCATTGATTTTTTTCCAAAAATCTTCAGATGAGCAGTAACTTTATTTCTTTGTAAATTGCACTGTTACATTATTCATGGCATCTGTAACAATTGGCATTTCAACATTATCTCCTTCCCTAAACAGCTTATAATCGCCAAATTATGTAAAATTTGGTGTTAATATTTTAGTGATAAAAATATCTGCAGTTTAAAGTATAAAAAGTGCATATGTATATGAATTTTTTATGCATATAATATCCATTACTGTTTACAGGAAAATAATTGACTGTTAACTGCAAAAAGCTGATAAACAAGGTTAAACACAAAAATATATTGCTGCTTCAAGCACTGCTCAAATTTGAATTGGCGGATTTTTGAGGACGGCTTTTGAAGCATATCATATGAGCGATTCCTGGAACATATCCAGCAAAATGGCTAATAAAGTCATGGTTTGCAATTTGTTTCATGACAGCGGCAACGGGGTGAAGCCCCCTTATTCTGCCTGCATCAGGCAGCACGCATGCGTATATATACTTCATTTTGCTCTATTTGACGTCACTGGTTGTGCTACCGATAAGTATAGCAAATTCTTCTTCTTCTTCTTCTTCTGGCTTTCCTACTCTTTAATTTGCGACATTTTTGAGCTCTATAACTGATTCAGTTATCTTTTTTTTTTCCTTTGTTTTTATTTTTTCATATATTTATATATCACTTGATCACAACTGAACTATGCTTGTCCTTGTTGCATAGTTCTCTGCAAAACCTAGCGCTTTACCAGTATTTGGATGATTGGTTTCTTTCAGACTTATATTAAATTAACTGCTGCATTCTACCACTCATTATTTTTAAAGAATTGCTTGAATTTGTTCAGTAAACAACAGTTTTTGTTGTGATTCTATGAATGTAGATTTTATCGTTATTAAGATACTGTTTATTCCACTATTGGTTTTTTTCTAAATATTGATTACTTTTCAGTTCTATGCTCATGAAAAAGATATGCAGTTATTGTGACTCATCTGAATCTAGTTATTTATCGTCGTTTTTCAGCTTTATCGCCTCATCTTTAGTAAGTACTTTTGTTATATTTATAAGTAGAATCTTCTAGCAGCTGTTACTATAGAACTTTGTACTTTTTTTTTCTAAAAAGCTTTAGACTTCCTAAAGAATTAATAGAAAACCAGCTGTTGAAGGTGCGATCAAATAGTTTCTGACTTAAGGTGAAATTAGAGGGATTTTTTTTCGTTCTGTAACGTTTTTCCCACTGGATTTTCAAGTTCTTTTTACTTATGCGCACGGTTTTGGTATAAGAAAGTATGGGGTGATAAGGGTTCAGGAACAGTTCATGTGTTGATTTTTATTGTATTCTGTTCTAGTTTTTCTTTTATATCAGCAGGATATTTTCAGGCAGTTGGCGCGCTAATAAGTTATGAATGGTTAATAATTGAAGATGAAACGAATAGTGTTGGTAATGACACTTTGACGGTTTTAAACACTAGGCCACCTGGATTCTGTTCGTGCAGAAGGTTTGTCTTGTGTGAAATTGTGTTTTTTTTTTTTTTTTTTTTTTTTTTTTTTTT